TCCCCAGCCATTCTGGGGAATTCTGGGAGTTGAAGTCCACATGTCTTAAAGTTGCCAAGGTTGAGAAACATTGGTCTAGGGTCTCCCTACATCCTTTTCTCTGTTGAAGGTGCCTGCAATGAGCTGGTGCTTTGGCATCTTCATAGCAAAGGCTTGGCTGTTGGATAGCCCCTGGTACCATTCAGTATTGTTCTTCTCTCTTTCCTTCCGCCTTAATTCCGTCATCTGTAAAATGGAAGCAACAACAACAGCCCATTTCCCAGGGCTCTTGCAAAGGTCCCCGAAGAGCAGGATCGTCAGATCAACCTGCCCTCACACGTCTTTCTCAGGCTCTCTGTGGCAGCCTAACCCTAGCTCATTCCTTCAAGCAGGGCTCCGCCCCCTCCCGTCTTCCCCCACCCCCAAAGCCGATTGCACAAAGGCGTTTGTGGAAAGATTGAAGGAGGGCAAAGTGTAAAGTTTGGTCTTCAGGGCATGTTGAGGAAAAGGAAAACTACAGGCGTCTGAAGCAAGCGACCCCACCCACCCCCCGCAGCCCTAGTCGGTATTGGGACGCTACCTTTTCTGATCAGTTTGCCAGATTGGACTGGAGTGCCATGCCTTACATCAGATAAGTGCTTAACATGCAGAAAGAAAATACAGATGAAGAGTTTAGGATCAAGATAGCAAGCCTGCAGCTTTCTGAAAAAAGAGAGCAAGAAAAATGTCTTTTAGGGTAGACCGTCTGGAGATGAAGCATTTTGGGGAAGGGGTCAAACGCAAGGAGCGAGATTTTACGAAGAGGAATTACGAAGAGGGTAAAGAGCCAACCTTTATCATTTTGGGGCACTATGTTTCTCTTGCTTTCTTCTCTCAGTTTATCCTACGTTTCCCTTTTGGTTTTTTTTTTATCTTTTGCATCCATTTCTCTTTTTAATATCTTTGTCCCTGCATTATCTTGCTTGCTTCACCTGTGAACCAGGAAACACAAAAGGCTGTCTCCTAAATAAAAAATGCTGAAGGGTGGGGTGGGGTGGGGTGGGGATGAGGATCTAGGGCTATAAGGAAGGGAATATTCTCTAAATGTGTTCAGTTGCGATCTGCGAGATTAGCTTTACGCCTTTCAAGTAGTTAGTCTTTACAAAAAATATCTGGGAATAAAGCTCGGCTTGATATTCACCCAGAGATAGGTGGTAAAGGGCACATGCTTTGCAATCAGAAGAGCCCAGGTTCAAGTCTCAGCATTTCCAGCTGAAGGGACCTGAGCAATAACAAGTGATGTGAAAGACTGATATTAAAAGGCCACGAGTTGCTTCCACTACCATAGCAAACCATGAGTCAATAGTTGTGTGGCTAAACCAAGGTCCAACCCAATATTAGCATAAGAATCCTTGGTATGTTTCATCTACACCGCTGTTTTTCAAACTTGGCCACTTTAAGATGTGTGGACTTCCACTCCCAAAATTCCCCAGCCAGCATGGCTGGCTGGGGA